GGAGGGCGAAGAAAAATGTTCTGCACCTGCCGCAAAAAACCTAAATCCAGCTCTGCGCCTATAGAGTTTGCGTGCAAAGTAATACCTCTTAGCAGAAATACATCCCGTTTCCAGACACTCGTCCAAAGCTCTGGAAATTTGGATTGAAGTGCAAGTGACCGAGGTGCTTTCTCGTAATCATGAAATTCGTGCGCGAAGGAATAAATTGGCTGGATTCTTCGAGGCGCAGCCTAGCGGTGACCGCGAGTCCAAACGGTCGCGATCCAGTGTCTAATTAAATTTAGCACACACCTCACTTCCAGGATTCGCAATTAGGATTTCTACTCGAGCCATGTTGTCGCTTTCCCCATTTAAAAGGGATCCAGTTTTAATTTGAAAACTCTATCATCATGCTTTGAAAAAAATTTCTTGTTGACTTTTATACAAATAATCCCAGTACTTTCCTGATTTTTACACTCAAAAATTAGTCGGATGCTCCAAGAATTTTCCTAAGCACTGGGATGTTTCCTTGGATTCCAAAATTTCCTGACGTTTCCAAGACTTTTTGGTGTCTTTTTCTTGTTTTGGTAGGAGGGGGTATAATTTTTGCGACAAATGCTTTCCCTAAAATTATTTCATCGGAAAGTCTCTTGGATTTGAGACGATGCTAAATTCTACGATTCACAGACAGAAAATTTTTATTTTTGTTGATAGAGCGTGACCGTGTGGGAGAGAATAATAAGGTGTTTTGGCTCGAAGAATGAAATTCATGATAGCAAAATTTCCTGATTTCTCCGAAGACTTTTGAGAAAAAATTCACCCTGGAAACAAGGTGTTCGAATTTTCGTGCAAACAAATTACTGGCTCCCAAGATACGTGTTGATTGCCATTCTTGTGAGGCATATTCTGCTCTCGAAAATCCCGGTTTTTATGAAAATTGCCCCATTTTTCTCCTAAATTAATTTTGCACTTAAGAAAAAGTAGCAATTTAAACTTAATTCTCGGGTCCTCTAGGACCAGAATTTGAAGTGCAAATATTTTCACAAAAATAGTGTAGATCCCAGGATATGTAAAAGTGTCGTGCTTAACCACTGGAAACAATTTTCGGGAACGATGGCACCTATCCGTGAATCCGTTAGTACGTGTACCTCTACTTTACCGTTCAGTAATACCATGCAGACTTGGTATAAAAAGAAACTGATTAGACGCGCCATTTTGTCCTGACTTCCTGTAACATAAAACTGATTGGACAAGCCCTTCTTTTGAGAGCATCAAAAAAAAGTATCAATTTTTGTCCAGACTTTCTACACTCCTTTCATTCATTATTCCAAGATTTCCTTCCACTGCCAAAATTCCAAAAATTTTAAAGGTTTCAAAGTTTTCCTTGTTGATTTTCTCCTAAAAGAACTAGAATCTCCGAAAAAAATATTGGAAGTGAGTCATAATAAATCAAGAGATGATTAAAAGAGTTGAATATAGTTTTTCATATTAATAATTCCCAATATTTACTGTATTTGCACTGATAATTTCACACTTTTTACACTTTTTCGATCTGTAGAGTGCAGAAAAACAAACACTCTTACTTTTTAACCAAAAGAAAGGCAACAAAAGTTGAAACCCCTAAGACCCCTATGTGCGGCCAAAACAGGACCGCATTTTGCAATTAGGAACTGCAACTTACTTCAGAAACGACTTCATTATCATTAGTTTTGTTAGGTTGATAAGTGCCTTTGATAAGTGAAAATGGGTCAGAAATTGTAGTTTCTAATTGCAAAATGAAGTCTGACTGTGATTTCGTGGAAGCGTGAATTAAGTTCGGCGTGACTAAAAACGGCATCAATGGAGCCTTACTGACGTTCCCTTCCCATCAAAAGGAGCAATCATGGCATTCATGGCAGTCAAGTCACCAGGCAGACAGAGATTAATTAAATCAGGATGCAGAACTATCGACGCGATTACGACGTTGCCACTTCCCGATAAAAATTAATATTTTAACCATAGACAACGTTATAAAAACTGCTTTATTTTCATGGTTACCGAAAACTCTCTCGAACGACGATGATGATTATGACGAGGGTGATGGTTCACTATGCTGACAGGTGCAAATTCCCTACAATCATTATCTTCGACATGAGAGATTGACAGGGACAAAAGCCGGATATTTTGCGGACGGTCCAAGAAGAAAGTTCAACTGCTATGTGATGACTGGATATTTTTAGGATCAGTGTTAAGAATCTCCGTCCGGAGTCCATATAGTGCCCATAGAACCCGTGTGTTATGGATGCGAAGTAGGGAAAATTCGCTCCAAAAAAGCGTTTGGCGCTCCGAAAAAAGAGAAAATTCTGCTCCGTCAAAGTCTAAGGGTTGTCTATAAATCCCTCGTATTTCTTTTCAGGATTCACGGAAAAACAGCATGATGGACTTAAGAAATGAAGATAATTATAATCATATTGAGAAAAACTGCGAACACTGTCAACTTTTATTAAAATACAACAACACATTGATGTAACCGACTTGTATGATTTCGCAGGCAGTAAATAACTTTCGTCAAGTCCCAAGATGAGAAATTGGTGTGCAATAATAAATAATATGAATAACCTAAAAAATAGAAAAATAAAAAAAAAATAAAAAAAAAAAAAAAAAAAAAAAAAAAAAAAAAAAAATAGAAAAAAAATAGAAAATTAAAAAAAAAAGAAAAACCAGATTGAACTATCAAGCGTGATGAAATTAGGACTGGACATGGACAAAGTTCTTTCCAAGTCATGTAAAAATCCATAAATTAATGATTGATGGTTGGACCACGGAATGGTTTTCGTCAAAGCTCTGGATCGACCTTAACTGCATAATTTACGAACTCCCTAAGCGCAAAAGTAACGACCACTTGTTATAGAAATGGAGGGGTAAGCTCCTCGACCGACACGAATCCGCGGTCAGTTTTGGCTGGAGCATCTCCGTGGGCGCAGGCAGGTGGGGTCGCGGGCGGGGCGTCACGCGTCGCGCGTCGCATCGGACGTCTAGCGCGGTGTCCGTCGCGACGCGACGCGACGCCACCGACGCGACGCAGCCAATGTCAAGGCCGTTGTCCGTTGTCCTTATTATTAACAGCTCGCTCATCAACGAGCGCGACGTCGCGTAACCCGCGCCCCGCGCTCGCACCTATGCGTTCAACTCGCAACCCCCCCCCCCCCCCCAATGATGGGGCACGCCACCCGACGATGATCGAAAGCACTGTGTGCTCACCAAGAGAGACACAGAGTTTTTCAATTGCTTCATTACATTCGAAACGTTCAAATTTGTGGATAATCGAAAATCCGTAATCGGTTAATAATCGAATCCAAACTGAATTGAATGTTAAATCCATATATATGCTTGCTTCGAATTGCTCGTCTAGAGTGCGTAGTTTACAAACTTTTCACATTTAAGGCAAAATTTCGACATTTTTAAATTGTGCCACGATTTGGATTGGGTCAACATTGTCTCGGAACCATATCTCATTTTACGTTTTGACTGTTCTCACAACCTTCCATGAAACTCAGATTAAACCGAGTTTGAATCCTTGAAAAATACTAGAAAGCTAAGAGGTAAATAGTCTAGTAGATAGTGCCATTGCTTCAATTGGACGTATTTCTATCAAACGGACTTAAGCGCCATAGGGTGAGGAAAGTAAGGGGGGGGGGGCTAGGATTGGCGGCGGAATCGGGCGTCCGGCTTATTCCGTCCTATACTCGCAATGCTTTTCCATGGCGCTTAGGTCCGTTTGATAGAACGCGCTATCCGACATTCTAAATTCCTCAATAGGAACTCAAATTGGCGCTTAGTTCCGTTTGATAGAAATACGTCCAATTGATTCGGTTCACAGGCTGTTTCCCGATAAGTTGTTTGACAAGAACTAGTGTCCATTCCTGCCACTGCACATTTTGCTAGGAAACCAGTATAGCCGCTAACACATGTACACTCCGAATGTACATTCTGGCCTACTGCGCATGCGCGGGCATCGCGGATGTACACTCATCATTCTCTTTGAAAAGAATGTACAGTTTGACGAGAAGAAGAGGCTACCCGCGACGATCTTCTACTCATTCCTTATAGTTGTTCAAGAGAACAAAATGAGGAACATTCTCGATGCCCGCGCATGAACAATAGGCGAGAATGTACATTTGGAGTGTACGTGTGTTAGCGGCTTTAGGGAGTGATTGGATCGTGAACGATGGGAAATTGGAAATCGAGTTGGGATGGTGAAAAACTCGAGGCAAGCAAGGCGAATGGAAGGTCGGCATGGAACATGGAAGAGAGGGAGCAGATGGACGGGATAGACCACCTCAGATGTGAGTGACTCATTGAATAATCCATAAATTGATGATCAAATACTCGTTTCGAAAATAACCGATTCACAATCGAAAATCTGTCTAAATAATCGCTTTAATCAATTAATAATTGAAAATTTCGGGCAACATGCCGATACTTGGAATCCAATGCTCAGGAATTTGAGTTGGGAGGGGAAACCCCCATACAAAATAGCTTTCGATTAATTTTCGGAGGGGTCGTTGATTATCCATCAAGTGAATTGATTTTTTCCACTGATCGAAAAGATGGACAGCAAAAAGATTCGATGGGTCGATTAGTTCTGTTATTTTGCCATTAATCGCAGACGTCTGGACCACCAATTGAGCTAGTAGGCAAACGGAGCAAACGCATGCATGCCGATCTTGTCACACAACTTCAATTTACGAGGTTCAAAAAGACAGATTTATCGAGTCAGAGTGGGGGAAATAGGTAATAAGGGATCTCAAGGAACGCGGTTAGGTTTCGAGTCGAGTTTTCCGATTCTTGCGTGATAATCTTCTTAGTAGTGGGAGCCGGAGTATTCATGAGGGGTAATAAACAATTAGATGAAAGGAAACAAAACAGATATTTTAAAGAGAAAATGTCAGAGAAACGACTTAATTATAAGTTGAACATAAATCCGATGCTCAGTGGATTCGAGCAGACCAGTCAGCGCGCAGCGGCTAATTCGTGAGCAGATTATGCTGAGCCATTAGAAAGATCGCTAACACATTCGTGAGCTATTGAGCGCCTGAGGAGAGAAAAAACCAACTGGACTTCATTTTCCGATCAGGAACTAACATTTCAGGCTCATCCGTAAAAACACTTATATGCACGGGGAAAAATAATGGTACATACGTTGTTTCTTCACCGAGGCAGAAATTCTAATTCCTAATTGCAAAATCAAGTCCAACAATCCTACTGGATAAGTCTGTCTCTTTTCTCAATTCCCTGCATTTTGCGGAAACGTTTTAAGTTGTTTCATCGTTTCCTAAGAAATCACCGTTTAAGGCTGACAACGGAAAAGCTTTGGTATTTTCCTTTTCCTTTATCATGTAAATTTCGGTTGACAACGGAAAAGCTTTGGTATTTTCCTTCTCCTTTATCATGTAAATTTCAAAGGGGCCTCCATCACTTTCTTATCTCTAAGGATGTAATTTCTTATGCAATCAGAAAGAATGAAAGAAAAACAGCAGAGACATTTGTATGCAATGAAACTATAAGAAAAAAAACACCAGTTGGCTTATTGCGATTCGGAACTCGAACTTAACTGTCGTTGAACAGTTTTCAGACCGCTTTGCCGCCGCTAATCTTCTTAAGACGTAAAGCTGAACTTTTGCTATTTCAGTGAGTCAAGTCGTGGAAGGAGGTCCACGGTTGTCCCTTTCCTCCACCCGATGGGACTAAGGTTCCATCCAAATGCGTTTTTGAGGAAATGACCGATCCCTATCATTGCTTCATCTCCACTTATTTATTAACTAGCAAAATGCCCGTGACTGGAGTCACGGGTCTAGAGGCCGCTAAAATATCTATAACCCCGAAAAAATGGTGGTAAGGGAGCAAGACATGCCATAAAAAAAAGATAAAATCGATAGAAAAATGAGTTGAGGGGGAGGTAGAATAAATGCTGGCAAAAAAATTAGAACTAACCTACCAATGATTTATTTAAAAAAAATAAAAAAAAAAAATGAAAAAAAAAAAAGAAATTGAAATAAAACATCAGCTGATAGCAAACAAAATTTACCAAGGAAACAAAGGAATGGAACTCTCATAAAAACAGATCAGTGGAAAACAGCGTAAGTAGGGCACTTACGTTAATTAGCGTTTATAAGTAAACGGTAAGTGCGATTTAACCATAAATCTATACAGTTCTTTATAAGACCAAAATGGACAAAATTACAAAATTTGAATAGGCTAACTTAAATCTAACGATAGTTGGACGGAGTTAAACAGAAAGGAACCAAGCCACATCGGGATCGAACGGAGAAAAAGAGGTTTAAAGTTTGGCTCCTGCATAAGACTCAATGTAAAAAATAAACTTCAAGTTCAATTTCTGCAAAATTTGCTCCAACGAAAACTTTGAATTTTTGGCGATAGATAGTAGAGCAGTGGTTGAGTTCAAAACCACTTATAACTCAATTTTTTCCAAAATATGGGTTGGTTCCTTTCTGCTTAACTCAGTCCAGTTATCGTGAACGAAAGAATTGACGACATAGGTCGGGTAACTATTATAGGTGGGATTATAGGTGGGATAGGTGGGATGTTCAAATGATGGGAGGTTCCGGTAACAAGTTTCTGTGACAAAATCATTTTCGTCTTGGGAGTCTCCAAAATGAATACATCATAGTGATCAGTTACTAAGGGTCGATTCTCATACTGATGATAGCCTCACTCTGCGTCGACCCCCCAGTCCCTAAATGGTACACCACTCTTCCTACCCATAGGGGGTGATTCAGGCTATCCCTTTGAGAGGAAGGCGCATCCGATGGCATGATGATTGCGCTCGATTCCTCCTCTATAAATCGGGGTTGATTAACGAGAAAAGAAGCTGCCAAACCTGGAAAACGATGTGCGATAAGTTGTCTGCGTCTCGGTCCAGAGGTTGCGTCAACTGAAGGCGTTTCCCTTTCAAACTGAACACAGCGTTCCCCTTCTGATATACGAGATCCAAACTAACCTCGTAGACGGGGTCCCCACCAACAGGGAGCTCTGCAGGTGTTGTTTGTTGATTAGTTTCTGAAAATTAGAGAAAACAGCATAATCCTTCACGGTTAACAACATGAATAGCTGTTTGAGGTATAAAAAAAAAAAAAAAAAAAAAAAAAAAAAAAACTCAGAGAATTCTTGTACTGTAAACTTGTGAAAAAATTATATTTATAAAGTTCCTATAAGAGAGAAGTTAATAATTTTACAAAAATTACCTATCGGCGGCAACATTGGAAAGTTCATGCAGTATTTTCCCTTGGAAAAACGAAATAACTTCAAAGTATAGTACAAAGGTGTAAGATAAAATTCCAGCAAAATATATAGTTGATTGTGATTGAATTAAGAGAATACTAGATGGGTATTGTCATACATCAATAATGAGATCCGTTTGAATTAATATTTACATAAGACAAAATAATTGATAGTTATTTCTTTCACTTACGATTGCCTCGGCTTTCCTCGATGTCCACGATTATATTTGACAGATGAGTTTCGACCTCACAAGGACCTGGAACATTTCAAAAATACTTTTAATAGACAATGTATTCAGATGTTAACGTATCTATTTGTACCTTCCAAAAACAATAAGGTCTTGTTCTTTTCTTTCTTTTTTTTCTTGTTATTTTCAAGAACACTTGAAGTGAGGAGTATGTCGATAAAATCGGGGCTTTCGAGGTTGAATCATAAGATGATTTCTGGAGAAGGTCAGCAGGAATTTCTGGGAGAGATCGGGTCCGTAATGATGGAGTGCGTCAGAGAACGGAAGTCGAAAATGAAATCGTGTTCGACGTCATGATCGAACAGCTTGTCTGGTTATGTCAATAGGATGACGGAAGAGAGGCTGCCAAAAAAGATGCTTGATCGGGTTCCTCCTGGGAGGAGACAGAGGGGTCGTCCGGTGAGAGGGTGGCGACAGGGGGTTTTGGATGAGATGAAGGGGTGCCAACTCCCTGATGACTTGTGGGAGGACCGAGTTTAGTGGCGGTTAGGCGTCGCAGAGCGCCAGAGAGCGCTAAGAGAGCGACTCTTATGTATGTATCAAAAGATGTTTTCAACAATTAAGAAAATTAAAAGTTATTTGGAAACGTCGACGCTAGACAAAAAACTTTGGTTACCAAAACGGAGCGGCGTTTATTCGCAAGATCCTTCCAGGTCTCGATACACGATCAAATTCCCGAACGAAAAACCATCAAAGTTTCGGGAGTCATGAGTCTTAAAATCATTACTTGACTTAATTTTAATATGAAAATTTGGGAGAAATGTTTCGTGTGGGAGGAAATGATGAATGGTGGCACTCCTTCTTGATGAAAATTTGACGGCTCGTCCAATTTTGATGAAAAAGGACTGTTGCATGGTGACCCTGAGTCATCAACTGGTCTACTTTAATGAGAATTGGTTTGGAATTTGATGGTGTATCAAGACGTTAGCGTCTAATAGGGACTGAGGGCGCGTGGGCAAGAGTGCGTTGGCTTTACGGTTGTCTTGGTTTCTCCTTAGGTTAGGTAGGTCCATTTTCATTCTCTAAGCCTCCTTATTATCTGAATAAGTTAGACGGTGCCCAAGCAAAAGCGACAACTCAAAAATGGACAAGTAGACAAGATACGAATTTAAACATTCTCATGTTCTTCTTTACATGTTCTTTAACCAAAATTAAACGTAAAACATGAGTCGTGCGACAAAAATTATTGAAATCAATTCATTACTTAGAAATGAACGTTTTTAAATTAAATTGGCACGGGAAAATATTCCCCGCTCACCAGAGATACAATGGTCTGATTGAATCAGTCTGCGCACAACGACGGTTTCGACCGACTTCTCAATTGAGCAATATTCCTTCCCTGCCCTGTGTTATTCAAAGTGTTGACAACGTGCAACAGGGTTGTCATATTTTTATGCCGCATGCCACACAGACTGTTACTCGTGCGGTAACAGTACGCGATGTGACTCACGTAAACTTAACTTTTTTTTCACGAGCGGGAGGTTTGAATTCACGCATCATTAAGAAACATTACATATCTTGGTTAAGAGTTAATTTTAGTCATTTTCGTGGGGCAACTTTGGTTCTCCGTTAATAATGTTGGTTTAAAAAAACGTATAAGACTGCTTAAATTCGTACCTTGTCTACTGGTCAATTGCCTCCATAGTTACAGCGACAATGAATTGGATTACATTTTGCAAGGGGAGGCGACTATTATTACTTGTTGATTACTGAAATTGATCGACAAAGTGATAGAGGAAGAATAAAAAGGGAAAAATTGAGTGATCCGATTGATGAAATCGGGGTTAAGGCAAAGTACAAAGGAGTTCTGTGATAAATTATCCAACAGAAGCCCACGAGACAATCTATTACATCATTTTCCTCCTTCGTCTGTAACAACCACCCGTTTCAGCAAATGGAATCGCTTCATTTTCCCTGCGTCTTCCTTGTCCATCGCTTAATCTATCAATTTCAATGATGGGCCCGACAGCTCATTTTAGAAACAACGTTCTTTCCATAAGTTGCCTATGCAGATGGATACTTCTATGAATGAACTAGAAATAGTGATTCCTTATTGCGAAATGTTCTCCAACTATTCTATAATCCAACGAAAAAGTGAGTTCATACATAATAAACAAATAGCAAAGATATGGAAAATGTGAGAGCAAAAGCTTATGGTAATGATTGTGACAAAATCACATATATGACGCCCGCGGGGTCACGGGTACCATCCATCGGATGCACGGGTATCCATTTTACGTACGACTTTGAGGGTCGTGTTTGGAGCCTGGTTATAATCCCCCCCCCAACCCCACCCTGGTCCCCATCTCCCGACTCCCGCTACGTTACCATGCAAGTCGAGCCGCCACGTATTTTCTCGTCGCCAAAACTAGCAGCATGCAATGGCAATGCAAAGCATAACATACCTGCGAGGGGAGGGGGGAGGGGGTGGACGTTAAGGGAATGGCAAGTTGGGTCACGTGACTCACGATTCGGGATTACGTCACCCAGGTACGTCGCGTCGCGTCTCAACGCTGTCGTTGGTCGTGTGAGATCCATTATTGGTAGGGCTCGTTCCCTAAAGGTCTTTGCTTCGGTGTCCGAGTAAAAGGATGTAATTTGGATCTTGGGCAATTGAGCACGTAAATCTACTGCACAGGCGCAGCGCGCGGTCTCGGCTTTGTCCTCGCTTGAAAACGTCGCTCCTTTGACGTAAACGCGTAGATTTCCACGTGAGCTCTATTTTACACATAATAACATGCTTTTTGCAGCTCATGCAGAGAATAAGATGCTCCCTTTGGCCAGGATTGAGCGACGAAAAGTTAGCCGTCCCATATTCTCTGCCAAATGTAATTCATGCCAATAGTCGAGTTGTGGTGTCAAAATGAGCCCACTTGTGTTTTTTTATAGTTTCGTTGCATATAAATTTCTCTGATGTTTTTGTTTGATTATCTCTGATTGCATAAGTGATTATATCCTAATTTCATTTCCTTTCCCTTTCATTTTTTTCCATTTTTGTTGCATATGTGTCCATTTGCAATTATTATTTTAAAATAACTTTCCCATGTATACATTTAATGCTTCAAACGGAACCAATTTGTTTTAATAATGACATTTCCGGCTAAATCATGGGTTTCCCCAGGAAGGCAGCCTCTCGTCCCTCCCAGACTCTACTGTTTCCAGATAAGTTGCTTTTTCAGCACTTTTCCCAGTTCAAACCCATGTAAAATATTTACATTTATCGCACAATCTGGCAACCCCTCGAGTGATATAGAAAAAGGTGGAATCAACTAAAAGTCTGAATCCTTCGAAGTTTATATTAATGATGATATTTATGATGATGATGATGATGATGATATTTTTGGCGGGCTCTGATGACGCAATGAGGCGAAAGAAACTGTGTTGACTCACAAGCTGAACGGACCTGCAGGCATCGCCTTGCAATGTCAACAGCCGACTGCCGACTTTTCATTGATAAAATCTTGATCAGCTTTCTGTGACCTTGAAAATGAGTTTCTTAAATTTTAAAAGGATCCCCTTTGTTTTATCACCACATTTCGCATCCTTCCAAAGGAAGCTGATGTGCAAACAAATATCGAGGAAGAGCCCCCGCCCGCGGTGCCGTGGGCGCAGGAACAACGAAGCGGTGCGCGGCGCAGTGTGCAAGTTCCTGAAAACCGGTGAGTGATGGATGCGTTGGTCGGGAGTCAGCCGCAATGCCGCTAAATACCGCACATTTCAACGGGATTCTCACGGGAGTTGGGCGGTTTTACGCCAAGACGTACAAGCTGTGCCTTTTTTTTCGCGAGTGGTAATAAATATCGTTGGATGTCTGGGCTCCGGGCGGCCGCGCCGCGCCGCGCTCAACTGCCCGAGGCTCTGGCTCGCTGGACCACTTCCTTCATCGTTGCCGCTTCCTTACGTATCGATGAATACTTCGCAGGTGTCTGAAATTTCATTCATTTTGAGGTGGTTCCAAATGATCAAGGGCAGAGAGCACAAGGTTGCGCTGCTATAGTCGACATCTTTGAGAAGTAATAGATCGTATTCGAAAGTGGTTCGATGTATCGTTTGGTTCAAAGCAATAGAACATAACCTCAAACAGCAATTTTAAGATTCAAGTTGGGAAAGCTGAAAATGAGAAAATTCCTAACGACTTCACTTTTCATCGCCATTTTAGACTCTTGGGAATAATGAATCTATCACAAAAAACCCGTTCCCTCAAATTACTCAATTGAATTTTGAGGTTGCCGGCCAGGTTGGCCTAGTGGTCAGCGCGTCTGACTCTAGGTCAATAGGTCCCGGGTTCGAATCCCGG